CAAGATAAAGGATGGCAAACAGGCAACTGTCTTACAAGAAGAAAGTTTAAAACTGAGTAGGATGAGAAATATGAGAAAGTTAGAATCTGGAAATTCTTTCATGTCCCAAACAGAAGAGAGCATTGAACCAGCCATGGTTCACAGCAGAATATGAAGTGAAACACTTTGGAGAATCCTGATGACTGAACCCAGACAAACTGTAACATCTTAAGTAATGCATCAGCACTTACTTTGCCAGGGTTGAAGAACCACCACTCAGGGTACTAAAGGACAGGCTGCTATTTCTTCTGGAGAAGACTACTAAAAATTAAAACTGCAAGCGCAGCTGAAAGCAAAGGAAGAGCTACAGAATTTGACAGCTATGACATCAAAAGTAACTGTGTACTCGTGTGTCTGAGCAAATAATATTGTATCTTAACAGGTTAGGTTAGGAGACAATGTTTTAGCTATAGCTCTCAGGCCATCAGATCACCAGCAACAACTCAGAATGAAAAAATGAGTGCAGCACAGCACTGAGTGTGCTGTCAGCGCTCAATAACAGATACACTACTTACTGAGCTGTGGTTTTGTTGTCATTGTCTGGCAGCAAGATCATTTGTTTTAATGACCTTCTGCCATCATGTGAAAGCAATAGCTCTTTTGATTGGACGTGTGGTAAAATTAAAGGCTAATTGGTATTCCACTGACAATATACAGTCCTGCCTCGTTGTGCTGCTGACAAGATCTGATGGATGCTGCTTCAGGTTCAAAGGAAATTAGTTCGATAGGAAAAAAAACTGGCAGTGCCTGGTTTTCAAGTTATCTCCTAGTGTTCTATTTCACAAGAGATATACCATCCAAATTTAATACATACCAGGCAGAAGAAAACATAATGACAATAATCCTAAATATTACTGTGGCATCTGTCCCCTGTATGAGGTTACTTTGGTATCACAGTTTTGAAACAAGCACACCTGAAAGCAGCAATAATTTAACACCAGTGAGGACATCAGAGTAACAGTTTGTCAAAACAGGCAAGTTTTGAGACAAACAACAGGTCTCCTACTTACAGAAATGTTACAAGAAATTCTGAACGTTAGAGTTTGGCTGCTTGATATCTAGAAACCCTGCATGTGCTAAGTAGTTCCAGAGGTGTGGCTTATCTAAAGTGTTAAAAGTGCTACATGCAGTTTTAGAGTTTGTCTGCTTATGTACAGTTATTACAACACACAATCTATTCTGCAGAATGTAAACAAGCAACTGTGGTATGTCCCAAGACCTACCCAACACAAACGCTGCTATTTCTTTCCAGAAAGTGCCGAACAGAAATACAGCAATACTTTTAAGGTATAGATTTTCCAGTTAATGTCTCCATCTGTGATCCAGGCTTTGTGTCAGAACAGGTTTACTTCAAATATTACCTTAATGGCAGCCATTAAAGCTTTACTGATCAGAATTTAAACTTACATTATTCATTAAAGACAGGCTTTTAAAATAGCATGCGAATGCTAGATCCAGACTGAAGAATGTAAACAAGCAGGCTTGTATTCTGAGATGCTAAGTATTCATTAGCTTCAGTAATTTCAAAGACATTTGGCTTTGAAAACTTTGATTTTAAACTCGTGTTTAGAAAGACAACTTCCCAAATGCATGCCCTCCAATTATCTTCTGTATCCAGCAGAGAATCTAAAATACAGCTGAAACTGCTGTGCTCATACGCGCTTTTTGAATCCAGCTTTTAACAGTCCTAGTTTTCCAAAGCAATCTGAGTTCCAAAACTTTATTCCAACAGTTCATTAAACAGCTATGGCTTCCATTATTACAATCCATTTTCCAAATACACAAACCAAAGTGGCATCATTCTTCTGTTAGGACAAAGCAAATCAAGGTTCAAAAAAGGAGCAGGCTGTGTCAAAGGGAAAGGTGGCCAGGCATCAATCCAGTCCTGTGTTCAGCCCAAATAAAGGAGCTGCAGCAGAGGTCATCCTGGTGCAACATTCCTTTTACAAGACACTGTACCTAAAACTGCAGAGAATATGCTGCTACCATGAACATCATTCTTCACCATGAATTTTCTTGTCGTAAGTGAATGTTGCATTGTTGGCTCAAGTACAGAAGTGAAGGCAATGAGTGTCAAAAAGCCCAGTGCTATCCCAGTAAGATTTGCAGCCTGCCTCTGCTGATTGAGTCAGGGCACTTGAGATTCAGGCTTCTATTTATGCAATCAAACATGGAAAAAAGGAACAAACAAATGAGGAAGCTATTGCTTCTGTGCTTTTTAAATATAACTTTTTCTAATTAAGCAGAAAGTTTCTGATGAAAGAATTGTTACCCCTGTGTTTTAGACATACATAAAACATGCATGTTCTATGATGCAGCTTTGACAACTTTTAGAATAAAAGCTCTAAGCTCCAGATGATAAACTGTACTCAGACACTTTGACTATTATATTCTAGTGGCACAAAGGAACAGAATTTCCATCCTGGGATACCTTGTAATTATGTTGTAAAGTCTCCTGTGAAGATAAATAATAACTTATAGTACTTAAAAGCATGCCATACATGAATAAATGCTGTTTCTCTCCTCCTTCAGCATCTTTCATTCAATAGCATCCACAAGAATGTATAAAACTATTGCATATTATTGTATTGTGTATGTTGTGTGTATATATATATAGCCTTGCTATATAACAAAGTGCATTGTTCTAAAATTCTAAACAGGTCTCTCTAGAGTGCTTCTCTCTTCCCCTCCCCTCTCTCCTCATTTTCTCCATATTCTTTTCTAGTGTACTTCGCTGTTGCTTACACTCTTTTCCTTCCTGAAAACTCAGCCTTTCTCTGTCTAGACCCAATACCACTACAATACCCAAACAACAATAGTTATTAGAGGTTATCAAATCTTGTTGCCCAGTAGAGGCCAGGATGCCAATAGTGGCGCTGAGCATGTTTTCTCAATAGGTGGAAGTGTACAGTACACACATGCACACGCAGCCATCCACACAGGTACACAGACAAAAAACACAGCCCTGGCACAATCACCAACAGCACCAGCACCCACAATACTGTTCCCCTGTCTGGCTGATTAGGATGAAGGCCTGTGAGCAAGGAACACATACTCCATACAATACTCCAGTGGCTGTTCATAGACACTCCATCTGTCCAGTAACTGACTGCTGGATCTTCTGGTGTCTCCAGTGTCTGGCACCTGGACATAAAAGCCCCTAAGGCCTGCACGTCCACATGGGTTGCTGGGTCCCAAACCCCGGGGAGCATGTGACACACACCCCCTGACTCTCTCTGGTAACTGGTCTTACTCAATCTATACCCAGTCCCTGAATCCCCTGATCTGACAGTCGCCACATGTACAAAGGTACGTGCTAACAGGCTCTCTTACAGCTGGTCCCCTGACCCCATGGGTCCTTCCCACAGCTGGCCTGGAGCTCCTAGTCCCTCCCATAGACCACACCCAGGGTTCTCTGGTATCTCCAGTACTTGGCTCCCAAGCTTATCTTACAAGCCTGCTAGCCCAGCTTCATGCTCTTTAGTAATTACACACAGTGATGTACAGATCCTCACAAGACACATGTACTCCAGTCTTTCCAGCTGCTGCCACTCCAGACAAATGGATATCTATGACTGGGCATTTGTCCAGTTGTTGGCACTCAGCCCTACACACACTCCAGTCTTTGCAGCTGCTGGTATCACAGAAGCATGGGCCCCTGTGACCACTGGTCCCCTCTCCGTTCACTGGTACTTAGCTGTCCATCCACTGACAGACAGACTCTCATCCATGAAAACAGTTGCAAATGAAGTTCAGCAACAATGCTGGAAAAGCAGCTCTGATCAGGTACTTACCAGCGGCCTTACAACTGGCCCTTATTGCTACCTCTTCCTTATCTTCTCACATTTGTCCCTCCTCTAAACACCTTGATCCTTTTCCCTACCTTGGTCCTTCTCCTTAATGTTTTATAATAAGTCTTGCACAATCCCAAGGATTTCTGAAGTCATTATGGGATGCAAGGACAATGTCCCTCTCAGGATGATGTGGCATCTGTAGAAACCCAGAGAGCCTCTTCCATTAACTTGTGTGGTGAGTTTCACACTTGGTCCTGAGGCACATCCTCCTCCTTTTACAGGCCCAGATCCAGATCAGGGTGTTCTTCCCTGATGTTTTCCCAATGATATCGTCACTGGAGTTTCACCTCCTGTCATCGCTCCTCTGTGCTCATGGCAATCAGCCTCTGGTCACATCATGTGGAAATTAACCAATTTTCTGTATTATTGTTACATTATCAAGCCCAGCTGAAAAATTTACAAGTTATTTTCAATACAGATATTCTAGATACATCATAAGCATTGATGAACACAAAATACAATCAAAATTACTGAACACAAGAACCCCAACAGACCCAAACTGCAAAGCTTTTGGTTTGTAAGTGCCTGTGATAGCATGCACAAATCCCTAGGGAGTTTTCCCAATGACTTCAATAACTGATAGATGAGGCTAAAGGCAAAAGATGCTCTGTAGGGAAAGACAGCACAACTTTCATATTTTATTTCTGTTCTTTACCCTTTTAATCATTTTAGGGCTCATTCTGTAGAAATTATTTGCAAGTACATCTAAATAGAAATGTTGTGACTATAGCCACGATTTGTAAGAAAATATACGATACAAGTTGAAGCCCCATCCTGGCAGTTAGTGCTTCCCTGGATGTCTGTGTAGCTAAGCACAGCACAAAAGGATCTAATGCTACTCCTGTGAAGCTTCCAAATAACTATTTATTCTGTTAAAACCTCTCTATTTCAGAGAGGTCTTCGGAAAAGAATTTGTTGACATGAGAATGAGCCACTGAAGAGAGACAGGAGTACAGGAGAAGGTCCTGGAGATTCTTAGGTAAGGGCTTAGGTACTGCTTGTTAGCATCTCTATTGAAAGACATATATTTATATATATTTCGTTACTTAAGAAACAACTGCTCTGTTCATGTACTAATTAAAAAACCCCCAAACCCCCAGAGCTCACCTTGTAGGCTACTAAAAATCTGCAGCCATTCAGCAGACATAGCCAGTAATACTATTTTTCTCCAGACAGAATTCTAAGTATTTTAAAAACCATCACAGAACACACACACAAACTAAGGACATTGCTACATTAAAATATATCTTTAGGAATTAGAATATAATAACATCAAATATGCAATTGCTAACTAGTTGTTCAGTATGGCATTGGGGAGAGGAACTTTTTGGAAGAATAACAGAAGGAATTGCTGATTCGGGGATTTCTTTACAATTGCGGAATGCTGTTAATAGAATAAAAGGATTACTGCAGATTTTAAGGAAAAATAAGGGAGTTTTGCATGAGGCTACACTGGTCCAGGAATTGCATGGTAACAGCTCTGCAGTCTAAAACAAATTTTTGGTTTTTAACTTTCAGAGTTTTCATTCATATATTTAATATTTCTAATCACATAGCTGTTCTCAATTAAAAGTTAAAAGGCAAGGAAATATAAAACCTTCCAAATCTCAAGAAAATTCTACGGATAGAAGCTTAGAAGGACCACAGAAGAGTGACCCTCAGCACCATGCTCAGGGCCACTTCCCTGCTCACTTCTTTATCATCACCTCTGCTAAGTGTGTAATGTTGAGCTCATACAACACAGCTGTGATAAAGTCATGCAAAGAGACTAGAACTGCACGAACAGCCGGCTCCTTACTGGTTCCACACCACTACGTTTTAAAGCATTTGCATTCACACATACTCAGCAAAGCAATCAAGAAATTTTTGGGCAACACCAGTCAGAGCAGTTAAGCAGGTGGTAATATTTCATAAACTTTTCCACTTCTATCCTATTCTTCCTCATCCATCTCTTTTCCATGCTGAAAAGGCTGTCACCTCCTGAAAAGCTCTTCTGAACAGGAAAAAAATAACCAAAAATCCCAATAAAGATGGTCTTTTCAATTCCAAACATACTCTTTCAGGAACAGAGGCCTGGAGCTATAAACTGTCATTAAGATGAAGTCCCATGATGAATTAAGACAGCTATCAAACTGCTTCCTGGTTTGCTCTCCATTGACTCTCTAAGTAATGTTTCCCATTTGTCCACAGGTTAAGAGATTTTTACACATTCATTAAACCATCCACAAGGGTCACCAAGACCTTTGTTTTATCTGATCACAGCTACTCCAGAGCTCATGGCTGGACTAAGACATGGCTAACAGAAAGGGCAAAAATAGACTGAAGGGCTTTAATTTTACCATGAGATAAACTTACTGAGATAATTCAGATAAAACATCAAGTTTTACTGCAAATAAGTTTTTTCGGTGAATTGTTTTGACCAGCATGGGTTCTTTTCGCCTACCTGATGTGTGTTAGCTACTCAAATTAAAATAACAAAAAAAAAAAAATAGAGAGCATTTTAGCACTGAAGACCAGTTCTGTAACCTAAGCTCTAGCACTTAGGTCTGTACATGACCTTAACAAGATGTTAGAGGAAACTGCAGATTTTACACAACGAAACAGAGACAGTGGATGCATTCAAGAGGCTAGAAAAACAGGCTCCATCATTTAGCAGCTGCAATTTGAAAAAATTAAAAAAAAATAATTTACCCCAATCGAATGATTAACAATAGCATCATAGACATAAATGTTGCGTTACTGAAATATTACTAAGGCATCTAGTAAATAGTATTCATGGTAAATGAATTAGCATTAAACAAAAAATGCTACCCACTCCTGCATTTTATAGCCTCCCTCTCTTCCTCCAGGGGAAAAGAAAAAAAAGAAGAGTAAGGTTGAGGGACACAGAGTTTTTTTCAATACCTCAAAAGTGACTGCACAGAACAAATCCATAACCTTCTGACATGTTGCTCTCTGTTTCTGGAGTTGTTCACAACGCATATTTCCCTTCTGTTCTTCAGTCAGCTGAACTCACAAAACAAAGAGGTTTAATTCAGTCAGAGTTGGAGGTATTAGGCATAAGAAAGATAGATCTGTCACCTCCTGACTGGTGAGCAAGGTCAAGAATGCAGACAGCAAAAGGAGAAAGGTGGCCGAGAATGGTTTGGATGTTAAGTTTAAGTCACTGGTATAACATTTAGGAGTCATTGGTAAAGCCAGATCCTGCAGCAGGATTCAGTGTTGCTTTCACACTCCAGCAAGCTGAAAAATCTTGGCAACTGATCACACAAGAGAAGCCAAATTCCAGAGCCAGCTGGGATGGGTAAGCACAACTGCACCCACTTTACTAGCAATATTAATCATATGATGGTAGAATGTAAAACTCTGGAAATGGTAGAGGAGTAAAGAGGAAATGTAAGAGAGCCTATGCCAGGAATACACAGTGGTGAAGGGCTCATGATGACGTAAGAAAAGCAGTACAGCAAAGCAACGTTTGAAAAACTGAGTATGCCTATTCAGAAGAAAGCAACATGTTTTTAGCAAGTTTCAAGCCTTTCTCCGAGGTGACCTCATTCCTTTCTTACAGCGTCCTTCTCGACTCGTGAGCAGAGCACAGTTTTCTTCTGCCAGATCGTTAGTTACAATGGCAGTTCGACCAAAGAGTGTTCACTGCCATGGCCTTCTGGATGCCAACAAAACCTGACATTGCCTGCCATTTACCCGCACCCCTTGTTTACAACCAGTCAGCCCACTTCCAGCCCTTGCTTGCCTGCACACGTACTCTCTGAGACTAGGAGTCCTCCTACAAAGCCCTTTCCAAGCATCCCTCCAAGGGATGCTACCACACCCAGCACCATCATCCAAACCGCCGATTCCAGCCCAGAACAACTCGTATTTTCTGGGAGGAACCTCTCTGACTCTCATCCTTTTAACTCTTTGGGGAGCACTTCACACCTCGCACGGAACCGCCATCTTCCAAACACCACCAAACCCAAATTTCAGTGCTTTCGTAAATAACGACCCTCTCGGGACTCAGTCTTCCTCCTGGGCCACCTGCTCCGCGCTGCTGACTCTCTCCCGCCTTGCCCTCCCCCAGCCCGCACGGTTCCTCCTGGGCTGGCCCTGTAGCCCCGAACAGAGCACCGGAGCGGCTCCCGCAGGGCATCGGCAGCACTCGGACGGACAGGGGAGCGGGGGTGGGGGTGGCGAGACCCTCGGGTGGTGTGGAAGCCACACAGCCAGCACAAGTGGTGTGGACCACAGCTCGCCACCCCCACCCCCCCCCCCGCTGGGGAGCTTCGCAGCGCGCGCGGCGGCCGCCGTACCCGGAAAAGGAAGGAAAGGGAAGGGGCGCGCGCGGGCGGGCGGGCAGCGGCGGCAGGGCTCAGCCCGTCCGGCGGCGGGCCAGGTAACCTCTGTCTTCTTTTTCTCCTCCCCTTCCCGCGGCTGCTGCTCTCACGGCCCGGAGCCGGCCCGGGGCCGGGCCTGCCCCAGCGCGGCGCTCAGGGCAGTGCCGGTGTCCGGGGCCGCCGCGGCGTTGGCAGCGGGGACCGTGAGCGCGGGCACGGCTCCTGCGGGTCACGGAACCACAGAGCGGGTCAGGTCGGGAGGAGCAACAGTGGAGCATCTGGTCCAGCCTCCCTGCTCAAGCAGGGCCGTCCTTGCGCACGTGGCACAGGATGGTGTCCAGGTGGTTCCTGAGTGTCTCCAGTGAGGGAGACTCCACAACCTCTCCGGGCAACTCGTTCCAGTGCGCGGTCACCCGCGCAGTAAATAAGCTTCTCGTCATGTTCCGGTGCTACTCCTTGTGCATCAGTTTCTGCCCATTCTCTCTTGTCCTCTTGGTTGGCACCACGGAGAAGAGCCTGGATCCATCCTCTTGGCACTCCTCCTTCAGATACTCATAGACATTGATGAGGTCACCTCTCGGCCGTCCCTTTCTGCCGGCGGTGTGGGGTTTTTAAGGCTGACTAATCTTTTAGGAAACTGAGGTTCTCGGCTTTAGGTTATGTTCTCTGTGTCTCCCTGGAAAAGGGAGGCAGCCCTCGGGTGTAGCCCTGCACGCAGCCTCCACAGCAGTTCATTCGCAGCCTTGCTGGAGTATTTATATTTACGGAATGAAACACATAAACGCTTGTGAGCGTCTGGTCCACAGCAATGGTCTGCCTGCCTAGTGAAAGAAGCCGTGTGGCCGTAATGTTAAAACACAGATAGAACATGGCAGCACAACAAATGCATTTTTGTGCAGTGGTGGAAGCACTCGCCCAGCTGGTTTGCCAAAACCTCCAGGAAATCCAGTGATTAAAGGTTGGGAGTTTCAATTTTTAAGCAGGAGCATATAGTTTATACTACTTATTCATTCCTAAGAGAGAAATTATAGGGCTTCTTTTAAGCACGAGAAAACCCTAACCTAGAACTGAGTTGGTGCACCCTTGAGGGCTTTCATTGTTTAGCCAGTGTTAGCAGTGACTCAGGTGAAGCTAAACAAAGGTAAGCTTGCACCTGGGGAGGTGTTTATGGCCAGTGACCTCACTGTGGTATGCAGCTTCATCTCCTGTTGCCTGAGGCCACACATCTGGGAAAAGTGCTGAATGCATAAGAAGTTTAAATGTCTCTCGCTGCATTGATGCTTTGAGAAGGGTTTGATTTTGTTGTGGTTTTTTCTGTTTGTTTAAGCAAATTATGAACTGGCATTAGAGAGGAAGATGTGATTGGTTCTATGCAAACTGTTAAAATTTTCCTCTCTTTTTTTAGATTGTTTGCACTGCTAAAAAGGAACTGCAATGGAGAGTACGGTATCGGTTATTTTCCTTGTATCCTTTTCCATACTGCTGTGTGAAAGTTATCACCATGGAGTGGAGACCGTTACTGTTGTGCATACATCAGAGAGAGCTTTTCCAGAAAAGACAGTGGGCATTAATACTGACTTGGCAGGACTAATACAGAAGTTTCACCTTCAAGAACTTTTTCATCGTTATGGAGAAAACAACTCTCTATCAATTGATGGGTTTAGAAAACTTCTCCAGAACATAGGTATAGATAAAATGAAAAGGATTAAAATAGGCCACGATCATGACCATGATCGCCATGATCATGACCATGATCACCACGATCATGATCATCATGATCATGACCATGACCATGACCATGATCATGATCATCACT